CATATTATTTAGAAATGAGGGGTTACTTATACAGCTCAGAGCTGCTGCCTCTCCAGAGTGGAAGTGTGGAGTTATGGGACAGAATAGCCTCTGAGTATGAAACTCATTATATTTTTATTATTAATTAATTAATACTTTGATAAAAAGTTCTATTAAAGAAAAGCCACCCAAACAAAAATATGACATTTAAACTTAGAATATTGATGGTGTACACTACTTACCAAACTGTATAATTAGCTGCATTTAACTCAATGGCATCTCTTGTTAGTTTAAAAGCCCGTTCACTTCTTTCATCACGCTGCAGGACAGCCCGGAAATAATCATAAACATCTCTAACTAGAAAGAAAGCACACAACTACATTAGCACTAGATTCTGACACAGTAATTCCTGATGCTTATATCTTATGAGGAAACAGTGTATGGTATGTATATCATCTGTAGCAACACCAGATCCCAGGCCCCAGCCCCCTGGCTAGGTGACTCTAAAGTCTCTTTCCAAGCACAAGTACATGGTCTAATTTCACTCTGCCACTATTTGTATAAATGGGATGACACCACATTCAATATTCCAGTCTTGTGTTTTTAAGCACATGTCATTAATGGGAAACAACATGGAAGTTCATCTAAAAGTTATACAAAGATCTACCACAGGACTGAGTATTTCTACTTAAAAGTACTCTGCTATCTATAAGCTACCCCTTACGTTTAAATTAATTTCCTTTTTTCCTCCTTTCTGGAAAGTTACTGTATGCTTTTATATACATGTGCAAATTCAGTTTTCTAGATATAAATTCCTCCAGACAGAACTGTGAAATCAAGTTTATATACATCATTGTGACAAAACCCAAAGGCCAAACCCCACTGCCATTGAGGAGATTCTGACTCAGAGCAACCCTACAGGACAGACTAGAACAAGTCAGAGATTCCATGTTTGTTAATCTTTACAGAAGCAGACTACCTCGTCTTTCCACTGTGGACCAGCTTGTGGAATCAAACTGGCCCAATGCTTAATACACCACCAGAATTCTTTACTGATTTTGACAGAGGTGGTTAAGTTATCCCCTATAGGAGCTTAATCAAGAGGTACACTCCCTCTGAGAATGTCTGATGTCGTAGTGGATGGGGTGATTGTGAAAAGAGTAGGAAAGATAAACAGGGGACTTGAAGACACAGAGTGATAATAGTCACATCAATAGTAATTAGCTGTATGAAATAGTGTACATGAATCTTACATGAACACAATGTAAATAAAAGATAGTGTAAAACAGGGTACATGAATAAAACAGAATGTAAGTGAATTACTGTATGCAAACCAATAAAAAAATTGGAATCACCTTAAAACAATAGGAATGTTTGAATGCATTTATTTTTTTCTACATTCTGATTAACAGTGTTAAAATTTCTAATCTTGACATACCTCATATGTAAATACTGTATCTGATGGTAGGTGAATTAACTTCTATGAAAGCCAACTGGAATTCTCTATTTTGGTAATTCTTTTACAAACTTAGTAAAAGTTGTTAGGTGCTGTTGAGCCAACAACTACTCATAAAGAACAACAATAGATCCAAAGCTGGAATGACTCTGTGACGTCTTCACAATTTCCTCCATGCTCAAGCACCCTAGTCGTCACTGTGTTGGTCCATCTCGTTGAGGGTCTTTCTCTCCTTTGATGATCATCTATGTTTCCAAGCATGAGGTTGTTTCCAATGGACTGGGCTGTTCTCATAATGTACCTAAACTACGTGAGATGACGTTTCACCATCCTTGCCTCTAAGGAGCACCTTGCCTGAACAGACAGATCTGTTTGCTCTCTTGGCAGTCATACTCTTCTCCAACACTACAATTCAAAGGTATAAATTCTCTTCAACCTTCCTTACTCATTTGTTCAGCCTTCAGATGCATATGAAGCAACTAAAAATATCATGCCTTGGGTCACATGCACCTTTGTCTTTAAAGTGACATCCTTGCTCTATAGCCTTTGAAAGAGGTCCCTGACAGCAGATTTGCCTAATGCAACATCTTCTGATTTCTTTGACTGTTGCTACCATGAGTGTTGACTGTGGATCTAAGTAACAAGAAATTCTTGACAACATCAATCTACCATGATGTTGTCTACTGGTCTAGTGGTGAGACTTTCTGTTTTCTTGATATTGAGATATAATCTATATGGAAGGCTGCAGTCTTTGGTCTTCTTCAGTGAGTACTTGTCTTACTTCCTGTAAGCAACTCACTTTATGTCATCTGCATAAGCAGATGGCTGATGAGTTTTCCTCCAATCTTGGTGCCTGATTCTTCATATAGTCAAGTTTCTTGAATTATCTGCTCAGCATACATAATGAAGAGGTATGGGGAATACATACAACTCTCAGGCACACTTTTACTGATTTTAAACCATGGAGTGTTCCCTTATTCTGCTGGAACTACTGCTTCTTAATTTATGCACAAGTTCTACAGGAGCACAATTAAGTGTTCTAGAATCCCCATTCTTTCCAATGTTAGCACAAGTAAACATCTTGCTGGTACTCTCTTTCAGCCAAGATTCATCTGACAGTAATGATATCCCTTATTCAAGGGCCTCTTTGAATTTAATTTGCAGCACTGGGAAGCAATTGGTGATCTGAACTGCTAAAGCAGCATGCCCTTTGAGTCAGTAGTGCAACTCACTACAGATACCAGCAGAACTTCCTTACAGCAGAAAAGACCTAGTTAGTGCTCTCGTAAAAATTACAACCAAAGAAACTCTATGGGGTAGCTAGACTGTCCTTTCAGGTCACTGGATGTCTGAAACAACTACTACAGCATTATCTCTAAAAAGTGTTAACAGCGTATTTGCTTCTTGTTGTATGCCATCGAGTCAAACTGACTCACAGCTGACCCTCTGGTGGGTTTTCAGAGGCAATAAATTGCATGGGAGGAGATTATTAATTCTTCGCCAGTGGAGCAACTGGTGGCTTTGAACTGTGTGCCTTTGGGATTACAACACAGGTTCTTACCACCACTAGGTCACTAGTTGTTTCCATGTGCCACAGAGTCACTCCTAATTCATAGCTCTATCCTGAGCCAGTCTCACTGACTCTGATTCATCTACCCCCATTACCCCTGACACAATGTCAATCCATCTTACTTGGAGTCTTCCTCTCCTGTGCTGTCCCTACACTCTTACTTGGAGTCTTCCTCTCCTGTGCTTCCCTAAACCCTAGAGAAAGACCCTGCATGAGATGGACTGACGTAATGGTGTGTTGGAGACAATGACATTGGCTCAAGATAGAGCACGGTTCAGAGATGTTGTACGTAGGGTTGCTGAGTTGCAAGGAACTTACAGGGTTGCTGAGTTGCAAGGAACTTAATGGCACAGAACAACAACAATAATAACTACAATGTGTATGTTAAGGAGCTCTTGTAGCATAGTGTGTATAGTGTCAAACTGCTAAATAAAAAGGGGAAAAAACAACAGCACGTGGTTTTAGAAGTTTATTTGGAAGTGGCCTTGCAAGGATACCTTTACAACATAAATATTACATTTCTAGGTCGTCTAAATTTGATGTATCTGGTCAAGGGATATAGAGGTGATGCAGAGTCTACAAAGACAAGTGGTTCACATAATATGTATCAAAATCTATATTTGACACAATTTCAGAAGCATTTCTTGATTCAATTTCCTTACATTAATGAAAACACAGGATACATATTAAAAACAAAAAAAGGCACAGTGGAAGTCAGTTGGGCCATTAAAGGGTTAAAAACCTCAAACTCCTTGAGAACTGATTCTTAGCTGCCTCTCTAGCAGTTTTCAAACGTTATGAATCACTCTGGTGGCCTAGTGGGTAAGGAGTTACGGTGTCAACGCAAAGGCAAGTGGTTCAAATCCACCAGCCACCCTGCAGGTGAAAGATGGGCAATCTTCTCATGTGCAATTTACAGCCTCTGAAAATTTGCTGGAAAATCAACATCAATTAGTTCCAAGTCAAAAGTAATGCCAAAAAAAAACAAAAAAAAAAAAAAAAA